CTCCCAGGTTATGACTCTGACTCTGAGAGGAGAGCCTGCTTGCGTGGCAGACTTACAGCTGCCAAGCCCAGAGCCTAGGACTGACCTTCATGACTTCGGTTCATTGATTTACAACAAGAAACATGAATGTTGAGTTCATGAACTCTGTTGAAAGAACACTAGTCATTCACATCCCTGGGCAGTGCTTTTGCCCACATGGACCCATATCGTGAATGGTCACAGAAGCAGAGAAGGAGAGTTCATTTCCTGATGTGGAGGTTAATGGCATCCAATCAGCTATTCACCTGATGGATTTCCACGGATACATAGACCTTGCCATCGGGAGGTGGTCTTCTTGCCTAGACACAGACTGCTTATATGGATCCTGCGTCACTGACTCCATGACTCCCCTTGTCTGTATTTGGCTGAATAACCCCCCCCCCCACTTCTGAAAGGTGAATGCCTTAAATTAAAGTTGAGTCAGATTCTGTTGACTTGGATTCAATTCTTTCTTTTTAAGGTTCACCATGACTATGTCTCTGATTTGACCCATTCCAATGTTTAACATTTATAAGAAATCTATATTCATTTATACCTGAAACATGGAGGAAGGGGGACTTTCACAGTAGCTTCCAGATCCATCCAGCAAGGGACAGGCTGCCAGTTTCACCTCTCCATGACTCATGGTTGCTTAACTTCTCTTTCAGAACCACTTATACTTTCAAATTTCCCTGGACCGTTCCAGGGCAACTCCCTTCCTCCTCCTGGAAGCTCCCTGAGAACAGAGATCCTGAGGGTGGCATCTATCCCAAGGTGTCAGTGGGCTCCATGCTTTCATGGCCAGAATCTCCTTTTGGGGCTGGAGGTGGGACTGGAAGGGCCACTCTCTGTGACACCCTCCCAACCCCTTTGGGTAGATCCTCACACACTCCCAAGCCCTTTTTTCTCTGTGAGGTATCATCAGTCACTGAGTTTATACCCAAAAGTCTGAGTTTAGTTTTACTGCTGCCATTTTCTAATTTCTAACTCTGACTTTGACAGCACTAAAGAAACTCCATTTTCTTATTCGATAAGAGCTTGATTATAGTTGCCTTTCCATATTCACAACTCTGCATAGAGATTATACAAACTTTAATGTATTATTTTTTAAACAGATAATTATTGAATGCTACTATCTGTCAAGATCTGTTTCAGAGAAACAGCAAGAACAAAACAGGCAGATATAATAATGATGAATTTTGTCAAATTCTCTCCAATGAGGCTGTATCATTTCTCACTCTCATCAGAAAAATATGGGGGTACCTATTCTTTACACCTTCTTCAGCAAAGTCTATTCTCAGAAAGTCTTCTCAAGTCTATTGTCTTTTAGAGTTTTGCCAAACTGATGTGGAGAAGTGGTATCTATATGTAGTTTTAATTTGTGTTTCTATTAGTACAAAAACTAAAATCATGGCATCAGGTTCCATCACTTCATGGCAGATAGATGGGGAACAATGAAAACAGTGACAGACTTTATTATCTTGGCCAGAATCACTGCGGTGGTGGCTTCAGCCATGAAATTAAAAGGTGCTTGCTCCTTGGAAGAAAAGCTATGACAAACCTAGACAGCATATTAAAAAGCAGAACGTTACTTTGCCAACAAAGTTCCATCTAGTCAAGGTTATGGTTTTTCCAGTAGTCATGTATGGATGTGAGAGTTGGACTATAAAGAAAGCTGAGCACAGAAGAATTGATGCTTTTGAACTGTGGTGTTGGAGAAGACTCTTGAGAGTCCCTTGGACTGCAAGAAGATCAAACTAGTCAATCCTAAAGGAAATCAGTCCTGAATATTCATTGGAAGGATGCTGAAGCTGAAGTTCCAATCCTTTGGCCACCTAATGTGAAAAACTGACTCCTTAGAAAAGACCCCAGTGATGGGAAAGATTAAAGACAGGAGGAGAAGGGGATGACAGAGGATGAGATGGTTGGATGGCATCATTGCCAGTGACTGAACTGATTTTTCATACATATTCTCCTTCCTCTGTTTTTGTTAGTTGTATTATATTTATATTTAAAGCATATAATGTCAAATGTTATTCTGTCAGCTTTTCCTCCCTTTTTAGTCTTAGTCTACAGTTAAATATGTTGAAATGCCTTGTATCACATTCTATGGCAAACACTTTTATGATTCTCTGTCTTGTTTGTTTGTTTTGGAAGCTCATTCTCTAATACAGTCCCCATGAAAGGATTGTGAGAATACTATTCCATGTTTCCTTGCAAGTCCTTTGCTATTTGTCTTTGGCCTTTATACCTAAAGGTTAGTAGTTCAGTCAGTTCAGTCGCTCAGTTGTGTCTGACTCTACAATTCCATGAACTGCAGCATGCCAGGCCTCCCTGTCCAATGCCAACTCCCGGAGTTTACCCAAACTCATGTCCATCGAGTTGGTGATGCCATCCAATCATCTCATCCTCTATTGTCCCCTTCTCCTCCTGCCCTCTATGTTTCCCAGCATGAGGGTCTTTTCAAATGAGTCAGCTCTTTGCATCAGATGGCCAAAGTATTGACGTTTCAGCCTCAGCATCAGTCCTTCCAATGAACACCCAGGACTGATCTCCTTTAGGATGGACTGGTTGAATCTCCTTGCAGGCCAAGGGACTCTCAAGAGTCTTCTCCAACACCACAGTTCAAAAGCAACAATTCTTCAGCACTCAGCCTTCTTTATAGTAGGAAAGAAAAGAAAGTGCACTCACTCGTGTCCGACTCTTTGCGACCCCATGGACTATAGCCTACCAGGCTCCTCCATCCATGCAATTTTCCAGGCAAGAGTACTGGAGTGGGTTGCCATTTTCTTCTCCAGGGTATCTTCCTGACCCAGGGATTGAACCCAGGTCTCCTGCATTGTAAGCAAGATGCTTTACCATCTTTATAGTAGGGACAGATACAAAATCACTTTGTCCTGAGAAGGACAACCTTACCTTTTACACATGCTTCCTCCTTACTCTTCTGGCGCTAGTTCTGAGTTTTTGTTTTGGGTATTAGTTTTCTATTGCTGTGTAACAAATTACCAGAAACCTAATGGCTTAAAAAATTAAAAAAATTATTCCCTTGCATCCTTGGAAATCAGAAGTCTAAAATCAAGGTGCTGGAAAGGGAACTAGAGGCTCTAGGGGAATTCTATTTCCTTACATTTTCTTGCTTCTAGAAGCCACCTGAATTCCTTGGCTTATGACACATCACTACAACTCCAATCCTTTTACTGACTTTGGTCCTCTTGCTTCACCTTTATGAGGACCTTTGTGATTACATGGGGCCCATCTGGATAATCCAGAACAATATCCTCATCTCAAGACTCTTAATTTAATCACATCTACTAAGTTCCATTTGCCATATAACATAATATATTCACATATTCCTTGGATCAGGATATGGACATTTTAGGAGATTATTATTCAGCCTAACACATTTTGTTTGCTCCTGGGAGATTTCCGTTTTTTCCTATAAACCAATAATGTAATGAAAGAAATGTGGTTTATATAGGATCTACTTGCTTTCTTATGGAGGTCCTTCAGAGTATCTAGTCTGCCATTCTATCAGAAGTCAAATTTCACTTAAGAAGTTCCTAAACACTTTGTGTAGGCTATGCTCCAAACTTTGGGACTCAGCGTCTCTAGGTTTAGGTTTATAAACCTGTATTTTAAAACCTACTTCCGAGGTGATTCTCACAATAAACCAAAATGGAGAGGTTCTACTCATAACCTGTTCATATCCAATGAGTGAGACATCATGAATGATCAGAGCTGACATGGGTGAGAGAGTGGGAAAGGGGAGCCCAGGCTCTTGGCTCAGTTCCTGGGAACACATGCCTTTTCCTTTTTTTACACAGTCCCTGGAAGCCTTCTTTCACTTTTTGATACCCTTAGGTCAGCGTTCCTTTGTGACTTTACAAGGTAAACAGAGACTTTGCACTGTAGAATTAGAGATTGTGAGATTACCTTAGAGACTGAGATTACCTTTGCCTACCTAAATCCTGATTGTCCTTTAAGAGCATTTACCAAAAGGAACCTCTTCTGACTGCAACTTTCCTGATCCATTTCTGCCAAATATAAAAGTATGGTATCTCTTCTCTTTGACTCTGACAGCCCTTGAAATCTCTTTTTTTAGAGGTATAGTTGACTTAACGATATTGTGTTAGTTCCAGGTGTTTGACAAAGTGATTTGGTTACATATATATGTAAATGTATATATTGTCTTTTTTCAATGATTTTCTATTATAGTTTATTAGAAGATATTGAATATAGTTCTCTGTGCTATACAGTCAAACCTTGTTACTTAAATCTATTTTATTTATAGTATTATGCATCTGTTAATCCCTTCCCCCTTCCCCTTTGATAACTGTAAGCTTGTTTTCTATGTCTGGGAGTCTGTTTCTGTCTTGTAAATAAGTTCACTTGTACTATTTATTAGATTTTACATATAAATGATATCATATAATATGTTTCTTTATCTGACTTACCTCACTTAGTATGATAATCTCTAGGTCCATTCATGTTGTTGCAAATGGCATTATTTCGCTCCTTTTTATGACTAAGTAGTATTCCATTGTGTATATATGTAACACATCTTTATCCATTCATTTGTTGATGGACATTTGCACTGCTTCCGTGACTTGGCTGTTATACATAGTGCTGCTATGAACACTGTAGTGCCTGTACCTTTTTGAATTAGAGCTTTTGTCTTTTCCTAGATATATGCCCAGGAGTGGAATTGCTGGATCATACGATAAATCTACTTTTAGTGTTTTTAAGGAATCTCCATACTCTTTCCCACAGTGGTTACATAACTTGTGGAATCTTGCATAGTGTTTTCTCAACCAGATGTTCTACAAGGGTAGGGACCACGTCCAGTTCATCACCAAAGTCCTGTCATCAAAGCCCTGTAGTCTTTAGTCCATCATGTTAATAGTAATTGAATGAAACATGAAGCCCAGTTGCTTAGGAAGCTTTTATTGATTCATTAGGATAGATGAGGCAATGGCAGACAACAGAATCTATAAAAGTAACTGAAACCCCCCACAAGCTAAGGAAAACGTGGCACAAAGGGATGAGTTGTTCCATGTCTTCTTGCCCCTGAGAGCATCTGCTCAGCAAAGCAGGTAAGAGACAAAATTTTAGGATAGCAATCACCTTGCAGAAATGGCCTCACTGAGAAAGAACTAACAGCAAAGTACCGCGATGAAGAGCTAACGTTCAGAGACTTGCTAACCGGACTGGCCAGGGCACAGCAAGCCAACTGCCCTCTGCTCTTCTCTGTGCTGGACACCGGAGTCCAGGGCTGGGGCACTCATGGCTTGCTGCTTTTGAAGTAGGAATACAGTCCCCTAGCTGTGAGTCCTCGCTTCCCTTCTGGCTGGGCTGCCTCCCGGCCTTGTGCTGAAGGGACACTAGCGTGCAGACTGCCCTGGTCCTGCCTTCGGATCACTGTCTCCCTTGTGTGGTCATCAACCCACTCCTGCTGAACCGCGGTGGGATCTCTTTCTCCCTGACCTCCTGTCACACTGCACGGTGGGTGGGTACCGCTCGTGTCCCTTCTGCCCGTCACGGTGCTCGCCCCAGTCTGGGCCTGCCCTCCCAGCACTGTCTCTCCTGCCTCGCAGTTGCTCACCTGTGTCTGTCTTTGAGTACTGCCTGACTGCCTCTGGGTCTGGCCCTGTTCTCCTGCCCTGGTGTGGCTTGTAATCTGGCCCCTGTCCTGTTCCACGGCCTGGGGGGCACCTCCCTGTGTGTGAATGTGTCCTCCCGTCACAGCCTGTCTCGACTGATACCCATCCTGACTGTGGATCTCAGTGCCTCTGATGGACTCCTGTGACTGGATGCTAGTGTTTCCTCCCTGATAGCTCCTGTCAAGCTCCCTGGTCTGAGTGTGTGTCTGGGTTTGTGACCCCGGCTGTGTCTGAATGTGTCCTCCTGTCACAACCTGTCTCATCTGATACCCGTCTTGACTGTGGGTCTCAGTCCCCCTGGCCTGGCTGCAGGTGGACTCCCGTGGCTGGGTGCTGGCACTTCCAGTCTGATGGCTCCTATTTTGTTCCACCGTCTGGGTTTGTGACCTTGTCTGTGTCTGAATGTGTCCTCCTCTTGTCACTTGGCTTGTCTGCCTCCCATCTTGACTGTGGGTCCCAGTCCCTCTGGTGGACTCCAGTGGCTGGGTGCTGGCACTTCCAGTCTGATGGCTCCTATTTTGTTCCACCGTCTGGGTTTGTGACCTTGTCTCTGCCTGAATATGTCCTCCTGTCACCACTTGGCTTGTCTGCCTCCCATCTTGACTGTGGGTCCCAGTCTCTCTGGTGGACTCCTGTGGCTGGGTGCTGGCACTTCCAGTCTGATGGCTCCTATTTTGTTCCACCGTCTGGGTTTGTGACCTTGTCTCTGCCTGAGTATGTCCTCCTGTCACCACTTGGTTTGTCTGCCTCCCGTCTTGACTGTGGGTCCCAGTCCCTCTGGTGGACTCCTGTGGCTGGGTGCTGGCACTTCCAGTCTGATGGCTCCTATTTTGTTCCACTGTCTGAGTGGTACTTGTGTGGGTCTGAGTTATGGTTCCAGTGCCGGCCTCACTTGTCTGGTGGGCTCTGTCCTGTTCCCTGGCCTGCGGCTCTCTCTCTGTCCCCCTCTCTCTGGTCTGAGGACTCTTGTCTTCTCGCACTCTCTGGGCCTGCTCCACATGACCCCTTGCTTGTGTAGACTGGCTCACTCCCTCCTGTCTCTGAGACTCAAACTGCCTGTCCTGGTGACTGATCTGAGCAGAGCTGATGTCCTGACCCTGGGTCTGCGGCCCAGGCCCTCCTGGCCCCCCGGAAGCCTGCTCACTCTGTGCGTCGCTGCTCCCTGCAGGGCCTTGCCTGCTCCCAGGCCTTCCCACTGCAGGGCTGCTTCTGTGTCCTTCCCCTGGCTCTTGGGTGGCTGCAGGGGCATCACGGCCAGACTCCTGAGATCCACACGCTCCCTCAGGACCCTCACTCAGTGTCTCGAAACAGGCCTGGGCGACTTTGAACACCAAGACCAAGAATTCCTTGAATTCCACTGTCCCTGTGTCATCTTCATCTAGCAGGCGCAGGACTTCATCCACAGTGGCCGGATCATGGGGTTTCTGTGGGGAAGATGAGGCTACATCAGTACCCCTCCTCTGAGGAGGACAAGGTCAGGCCAGTCAGCTGTTTCCAGGCATCCCACCCCTGGGCCTGGGGGCCTAGCTACTTGGCACCCTGACACTGCACACACACACACACACAAACACACACACACACACACACACACACACACTGCTACCACAGAAGCACTAACACAGAATCACTCTCATTTAGTCCAGCCTCTCTCCCTCAAAGGCAGGAAGCAGGCTCTGTTTTGTATCCTCTGTGTTGGACCCAGTTTCTGGTCTACAGGAGAACTGGATAAAGATTTCATGAAGAATGACTAAATGACTGAGCTTGTAGTGATTCTTCAGGCTGTCCTCAGCCCCTGGACCCTGGCATAGAGGTGGTTTTTCCCTTCAGCGAGCCCGACACCAAGAGAAGCTCAGCAAGAAGATGGCCCCGTGGGAATTCTGTGAGGTCCTCACTGAAGGGGTCAGGTGTTTTGCCAAGTAGGGGCATCTGGTGGGTTTCCCTCAGTGTGCAGAAACAGCACACACCTTCCTGCCCCCAGGACTTTCACCATCCTGGTTTCTTTAGCTGCACACCAAAGGCAGGGAGAGACAGCGAAGTGCATCAGGGCCCTGGGGCTGTCTTGTAGGGAGGGGCTCCCAGAGTCTCCTCCAGCTGCTACGCCTCACTTCTGATGCGACCTCTCAGCTAATATCTTGGAGCAACTGCTTCCAGCCAAGCACAAAGCCGTGCTTCTCGTGAATGCTCGTTACTGATGATCACACTTCCGGTAGATGTAGAAGTGGCCGCCATATCAGATTTAAGAAGCAACAGAAAGTAACGATTGCCATTGCTAGAATAGTCAGATGAATCCCAAGGCAAATATGGTCATTCTCTCTTCCCTCCCGCTCCCCGCACCCTTGACCCGTGGGTCTCCTACCACGATGACGTCAGCGAACTCTTTCTCCAGGAGCCTTTTCAGCTCCCCTCTTTGCAGCACTGCGCAATCACCCTCCATCCTGGCATAGCGCCTGAAGGCTTCGATGATCCCGTTAATGTTTCGCAGTAACTGCGGCATCTTCGAGTCCTGCTGAGGAAAGAGGAAAAGCCCCCGCTTGGGGGCTCCGTAATCAAGCTAGCTGTTCCTAGAAAGCACTCCTGCTTCTAAGTCCTTTCTTTGCCTATTCAGCTCTGCTTTGGGCTCCTCTGCTGTGTCTTCCTTGGCATTGCCTACCTAACGCGTTTTATCGACGGGAAGGAGGAGCAGGTGTGGTTGCAGGCTGGGTCTAGATGCGGCCCCACCGCCTCCCTGTCTGGTGAGCGGGCTCGGGATGCTTTGCCTCTCTGTGCCTCAGTTTGCTCACTGTGAAATGAAGGCAGTACTAGTATTTATTTTATACCATTATTGTGAAGATTTAAAGAGATTTTTCATGTAAAACACTTGGCAGAGGCTGTCAAGACTAAGTGCTAGCTATTAAATATCATTAGCAGGTTATTATACCCACATATAATTTGTGCACATCTATGTACACTCTTCTGCTCACCAGGCACTTTCAGAGGCATCATCTCCTGTAATTCTGATTATCTTCACTTTTTTTTCTTCACCTATAGGTGAAGAAACAGGCTCAGAGAAGTTAGGTCATTTGCCCAAGGCCACACAGCTTGTAAGGAACCAAGAAATCCTAGAAGCCAAATGCAGTGAGCCTTCTAGACTGTACCCCATGGACAGGGCAATGCCATTGCTATCACAGGTATTAGGGTCCTGCTGGGAACACCCACATGCAGTAAGTACATATGTGGGTCAACTCCTGCCTCTGATGGGGGCCAACCAGGGCTCAACTCTGCCCTTTCTGGCTTCCTTTTCAGAATGTGTTCACAGAGAAGCCGGGCTGCCAGCTGCCAGGAATACTGTGGAGCTGGTGCCTTCCTGGGTGGGAGGCCTTCCAGTTCTGAGAGTTCATGTTTCTCTGAATGTGACCTCTGTCCTCAGCGCTGGGACCTTGGAGGAAGTCAGCTGCCCATAGCTGTGTGGTTCCTCCATGGCCCTGGTGGCCTGTGAGGAACTGAAGGGAGAGTTTCCCTGGTTTCTGGATTTGGTGGATGGGCAAGAGGCAACGAAACCTGGAGATGCATTAATCATAGCTTTGTAGAGCCCAAAAGAGATGACCATCACACATGGTGAGCTTCAGATGCAAGCGGGGGTTGTGAGGAACGGAAAGCTACAGAAGCTGGAAAACCAGGGGAGAGAGTACCGTGGAGAAGGGAAGGAGAAGGCCGTGGGGGAGAGAAAGGCATGATTAGAGAGCTAAGTGAGTAAAGGAGGGAAGGGGTGGGGGGACTCAGTAATGGAGGAAGCAGATTATGTGGAAAGTTACAGACCCTAGGGGAGCTCTTCAAGGGGTGTCCTTGCTACCATCTAGTAGCCAAAAATCACAGCAGACCTTGCTTTCAAGGTCTTTCAACAAGACCTTGCTCCTTGTGTAGGTCAAACTCACACTATTGCACCTCAACAGAGAAGTGAAAAGATCTTTAAAAGAAAAAAAAAAAAATCCTTGTGGAAGACGGAGGTCACTGACCTTTAAACTGTACAGATAATAATAAGATAACCTTTTAGTTACATTTCAAATCCCTTAGAATAAATGTGCAGACTCATGACTTTCTTGGTGGTCCAGTGGTTAAGAGTCCATGTTCCCATTGCAGCAGTCCCAGGTTGGATCCCTGGTCAGAAAACTAAATCCCACATGTTGCAACTAAGTTTGCCTGCTGCAACTAAGACCTGGTGCAGCCAAATAAATAAATAAATAATATTAAAAATGAAGTCTCAAAAAAAAAAAATTCACGAACACATTTTGCCTACATATGGCCCTGGGGTGGGGGAGAGCTGCCATGTAAGCCTCTCCCTCCACGAGAAGGCTCAACCCCATTGTTGGGTTTGGCAGAAGTTGCTTGGTGGCACAGACTCTGAGCACTGCATTGAGGCTTCCGGAACCTTAAAAGCCAGACAACTTAGCTTCTCTAGGAAGGTATGTGGGTGGCTCTGTCGCTGTTGCCAACACAGCCTCTCAGTGAAAGGAGCTGCTGCCAGAGCAGCCGCAGGGGAGGAGGAGAGATTGTAGCTGCTTTGGAAGAACACCTGGTTTGCCCAAGCCCATCAGAGCAGACGCTTTCTGCCCACAGCCACCACTGGTAGCCCTACAAGACCCTATCTGGTAGCCCTGGTTTTATCAGCTCAGATCACCAAGACACTGCGAGCAAGAAAGAGGTTCCTCAGGAGGGGACTTACCTAATGCACAGGCAGGATGAAGCAAGTAGCTGTTATGCGGTCTGTGGAGTACCAGGTGAGTGGGACAGAAACCTTTTATAAGGGATTTAAACAAGGCTAGTGTTTTAGACAGGATGTCCCCGCCCCATGGGAAGGCTTGATTCATCCAAGCTCATCCAGCCCAGCCTCACCTCCCTTCTTGTCTGTTTCACCTACTGGTCTAATTAGCAGGCCCCTCCTACCACATTTGGTGTCCTCTTTCCAGGTCTCATCTCTTCCTGGGTCTATCTCCTCCTGACAGTACATCACCTTTCCAAAGTGATGGTCTTGGCACAGGTAGGGGTTCCTGGTAAGCATTCTTCCTCTTGGTGTGACAGCCCAGTCATGGACTCCCACCCTCCTTTTTTTTTTTAATACAAACATTTATGAACATAGCCATCTACTAAGGGTTATCCTTTTCAAAGTGGTCACTTTGTGAGGTTACACATGTTTTTCTGATGATGTTGCCATTCCTTAGAACATTCTTGGGATTTTTCTTGTGGAAATTGCCTTACCAAATTTATGAGACATGAAAAAACTCCTGTCTCGTGCCTTGGTGGTTAGCCTCATTTTTTTTTTTTTTATCAAAACAAAGAAGGCTAATACCTCTTAGCCCGCAAACCCATCCTATATGTGGGCAGCTTCTTAACAGCTGGTGAGAGAAGAGGCTTAAGATGACTGTGTAACTCCTTCATTGAAAAGACAGGGAACTCAGCTGATCAACTGATCAGCAGATATTTATGGAGAGCCATTCAGACACAGAGCTATGAGGCCCGAGGACTCAGTGTTGACCAGCAGGTAGGTCACGTCAGCAGGCTCATGTCTCAGGGAGTTTACGGCCGGCAGTCACATGAGAAAGTCCCCAAGAAGGTAGCAGTAATGGCAATCACTCTTTGATTGGATTTCATTCTCATCGCTATCTCATTTCCTTGGATCCTCATGACAGCCCTGTGAGGCATTGTGGCCAAGCCTCTTTTATAAATGAGGATACTGAAAATTCTGAGAAGTGGCCACTCCATGTGGAAGGGACAGGGCTGCAGAAAGCCCTCTGCTTTGGGCTGTGGTCCTTCCATCCCAGCACGCTGCCACTTTTTCTTTTCTCTGTGACTTTTGACATTTTCCACACATTGAATTTGTTCTCCATGGATAAAGAACAACCATCCCTGAGGATGCTGAGAAGGAAGAATTCTTTGCTCCGAAGCCAAGCCCAAAGGAGCTCTGAAGCCACACTTAGCAGAAAGTACTAGTAACTTCTCAAGTGCCTCTGGGTGGGGAACAGCATCTTTGCCGTCCTCACTTACATGCCAGTGTGTGCATGCAGGAAAGGCAGTGTGATGGGCAGGTGCAGGAAGGGCCTTGGTTGCAGCATTTGGCATAGCAAATGCAGCCCCACAGTCATGGCAGGGGCCTCCACACAGGACAAAGAGCAGGGGTGACATGCGGACAGCAGTGGGGGGCTGCAGCAGGCTTTGGGGTTGGAGAGGTCTATCTACAGGGGGTTGGGATGTGGGCAGAGGTTGCTATGGTTACGGGTCAGAGTTAGGAGAAGGCTAGTATGAGAGCGAAGTTGGTGAGCAGGAGGGGGTTCAGCAAATTAGCACTGCTTTGAGTGATGTGCTAAATCTCATCGGAATGGGCTTCGAACTTCCAGAATGACTTGGAAACTAAAGGAAAATAAGTTAGGAAAGGGATAAGCCAGGTGCTTTATCTACGGGGTAACTTTGAGGCAGGTATCATACGTCCAATTCACAGATGAGGAAGCTGAGGTATAGAGAGGTTATGTAACCTATTCAAGGTCTCATATTTAGAAAGTGACACACTTGGGTTTGAACTTGGGTCTGCCTGCCTCTGAAGCCTGTGTCTTTCCACGTGCCTGGAACAGGGCTAAGCCTGGGAGTGGGGGGTTGTGAAGAGCTGAGGATCCATAGAAATAGAGATAAATGAGGTATGTGTATATATTAGGTGGAGGGAGGTTGGCTGGAATGGGGGGGTGGGGATGGGGGAGATGAGGTGGCAAAGCTGGGGACCCACACTCTAACTGAGTATGTAAATTTACTAGTTGGTAAATTTGTGAAGAATTGTTGCAAATGAGTGACTTTACCATGCACTGGCATCTCCTGGGTATGGTGGGTGGTGCAGAGACAGGCCAGGAACCCTAGCAGAAGTGGAGTGAAACTCGTCCTCTACCCTTCTGCCTTGGAATAAAAATCTCAAGGAAACCAGTTAATTTTTCCCTTTGTTGTCTTCTCACACACTGACTCAGAAATGCACTGCTGACCTCTGCCTGGTTGATTTCTACAAGCATCTGACAACTGGTACTTGCTGCATAACAGTGGGCTACAAATAGAGAATAAGATCCTGCTTTCCTGGAAGTGAGTCTAATTGGGAGAACAGACCATGCACACGCAACATAATTACTTAATAATGGAAGACAAAGTTTTGTAATGTTAAATAAAAGAGTCTGCTCACCAAACACCTTTGTCTCTACCCAGGAGCAGAGAATGGTGACATTGGGCCAGGCCCCATGGTGACAGAATGGCCAGGTGACAGGGGTCTAGCCACCAGGAGTGCTTAGAGAGTGGCCATTCAAGTCTCCTTCCAAAAAAAAAAGCAGAAGATGGGAAAATTCCATAATCCTGGGCTTCACCCTGAGAAAAACGCAAAAGCAAGTCTAAAAGCCAGAGAGTTGTTGCCTAAAGTTATCTGGGGATCAAGATAATTTTCCCGTCCATTCAAAGCCCACACATCCTGACTGCAGGGCAGGGTGATGGGTGTGGTTCTTAGAGGGAAAATGAATAGTGGACAGTTCTGGGCCTCCTTATCCTCTCTCTGCCCCAACTGGAGCCTCTTCTCCCCAAACCAGCCTACCTGGGCTCTGATTAGAACATCTGGAAGCCCTGATACTCAAGTTCAGCCCCAGAAATACCAGGGAGGATTAGGCAGGTACCAGACACGTTCCTGTTGACACAGTTTCCAGTGACTTGTGAGTTAGACATTCTGAGCAGAATCCCTGACCTGACAGGTTGTATTGGCCCTGTGGTTTCTCTGAATCCTGATTCAGGCAGGGAGCACATGGCTGACACTGTCATTGGCATCCTTGGTTTGGCCAGGAAAGCTGGAAAATGCCATTTAAAAGAGAATCCAAATGTCCCAGATCTAAGCGTCCAGCCCACAGGCAGAGCTCTTGGAATCAGCAAACTGGAAGATTGCAACCTGCTTCTTCCCACTACGAAAAAGAAATATTGTGGAAGGAGGAGGAATTCTTTCTTTTCTTGCTTTACCAGGGCTCGGATCTCTACAAAGTCCCTGTTTTATCAAAGGTTTGTTGACTTAAATGTAATGTTAACAGGCATTTCCCACTATGCCCTTATTTCTGTCGTAGCCACTGGCCTAAAGCATGGACCTGTCAGTTCCCACAAAAGCCCAACTTGCAAGCCCTCTTTTTGCCTTAGATGCAATTCTCTCCATCTCCACCATGCAGGTGACTCCCATCATTCAGAACAACCCAGCCACTGCTGATTCTATCATCTAGTTCCAGATAATCCCAACAGGATAGATCTCTCTCTCTCTTTATTTTTTTAGAATTTTTAAAGTTTATTTGGCTGTGCTGGGTCTTTGTTGCTGCGTGGGCTTTCCTCTGGCTGTGCTGAATGAGCTTCTCATTGCGGTGGCTCATCTTGTTGCAGAGCACAGGCTCTTGTTGCTGTACATTGACTCAATAGTTGCAGCTCCCAGACTGTAAAGAGAACAGCCTCAGTAGCTGTGGTGCGCAGGCTTAGTTGTCCCTTGGTGTGTGGGATCTTCCCAGACCAGGGATCAAACTCGTGTCTCCTGCACTGGCAGGCAGATTCTTTACCACTGAGCCACCAGGGAAGTCCCAGATGGGATCTCTTTTAAACATCTCAGCTTGCCTTCAGTAATCTTACAGTCTTTTTGGGGTGGTGTATCTTTTACAGAATTTATTTTACTCTACTCTCATTATCATTGCTTGTCTCTTTGCTTAATCATCCCTTTTTTATTGATCATTTCTGTACTGACAAGGCTATTTTGCAATAAGTGTGTGATGACTTGATATCGAAGTGTGTGATGAGGGCTGGACAGCGTGTCTTTCTTTATATCATGCCTGGTCCCATATTCCATCCCACTTGGATTTCGAGGCTTCATTCCTGGGTCCTCTGGGATACAGTAGGATGGCACAGCATCCAAGGCTAAGGGATCCCGGGACCAAATGAAGGAAAGTTCCATTGCAGCTCTCATCAGGATGGACTGGATTTGTGCCAGTCTCCCCACAAACCCTACAAACCTGCCTAAGTGGGTTTCCACTAGGGTTGGTCAGCTTTCAGCTATTTCCTCCTTCATTGATTAAAGCGCCCATCCCTCCCAGTGAGCCAGGATTAAGAGGTGATGACAGGGTGTTCAGAGCACAGTGAATGACAGAGGAACGCCGAGGGTGTGCAAAGGTGAAAGCCGAGAAGTAGGGAGTTACTGTCGGGGCTTGGAATGCAGTCCCTGTTTAACAGGAAGAGGGTGAGATGCAGTGGGCTGTGGGCCACTGAGGTCATTGTAGGGGCTACTGGCTCTTGGTAAATGTGCACATTCCCTGTCTTCAGGTCACCTTGATGGTAGGAGGTCAAGGAAGCATGTGGCATGACTTTTATCCCCAGCAGTGGAAACAGACCAACCCAGGCTCCATGGCTTGAGGATGACCCTTGTTTATGCCTGATAGTTATTATGAGGTTAAAAATCAGTGGGTCTGAGAGAGCACAGTAAACTGGTTAACACTAAAACATGCATGTGTGTGTTAGTTGCTTAGTCATGTCTGACTCTTTGTGACCCCATGGACTGTAGCTTGCCAGCCTCCTCTGTCCACGGGATTCCCCAGGCAAGTATACTGGAGTGGGTTGCCATTCCCTTCTCCAGGGGATATTCCTGATCCTCGGAATTGAACTGGGTCTCCTGCATAGCAGGCAGATTCTTTACCATTTGAGCTACCAGGGAGGACCTAAAATATGCATAGG